CAACAGAGCTTCTCTAACTGGGCAGCCTGAAATTTATTTGAGGTCAACCCCTGTGTGTGTGTGTTTGTCTCAGACCAGGACTTAGTTAACTAAAAATCTTAAGAAGCTTGACAGGCGTAGGATCAGGTGTTTCAGTTTGAGCAAAGGAAGGTATGGGGCCTCTTGCCCCCTGGAGTGACCCTTGCATGCCATGACTCTCCATACATCAGGTACCCCACTAATTACACTTCCCCCACTATCAATCCTTGCCTTTCCGTCTGTGGTTTCTTCCATTATCCATGAGTGCCTGTTCTGTTCTGTGCACACTAACCAGAGCCTTAATCCATCAGGGATACATTACATGGGAGCCTCCAGCACTGCTAGCAATCCGGTCCAAGTGCTCAGCTCTATAAGGAAACCACTCCTATGTTGTGTACGCAAGTGATGTTTACAGATTGTCACTACCAATCAACCAATAAAGTGACATTACTGCGGTTACATAATAGCATGCTCACATTAGGAGGTGTATTCTGGGTGAGTTGAGAGTGTGTATGAGTGGGAGAATGTCAGAAAGAAAACTATGAGCAGCATTCCATCGCTCCATTCATTCATTCATGAGGGGGCTCAGCTCACCATATGGACCCTCTGACTGCTCAGCATAGTGTGTATTAGGGGTGTAAATCAGATGTATCACATTGGGGTGTTTTTACTGAGATGCCAGCTACGTACTGCCATCTAACACAGCTAATGACTAAAACAACTTGTCCATTAGAGCAAGGCGTACATGTGTTGTAACAGTGATGACTCATCATTGTTGTTGTTTTTTACAGTTTATATTTATAGAGCTGTTGTGCTCATGGGAACGATTTAATTTAATCAAATCTTATCAAATCAAATTGTAGGCAGAATGTGTGATTTGATCTAATCTTTGAAAGACTCAGATCAAATTGTTGTCAGTTTGAATTGTTACAACCCTTCTGTGGAGCGACCTTTTTTGTATCCATCTGTTCCTTTTACCAGTCTATAAGTTGGAATGGGACTGAAAATATATTGCTATACTTCTATTAGATACTCCATCCTATATCTACTTCCTGGCATTCTACAGTGAATCAGCTGACCTGCTGCCAGTAAGCTAATTGGTTGCACATCTTCCTGTTTGCTGGTGTTTAGTCTTGTGCTGATGTTTGGAATGACATGCAGGTGTATGTAAAACATACTGACAGAGTCAAACGCAACTACAGAGAACCAATTAGAATATACCGTAAAGGAATACAGCCAGGAGTTATGATACATGTCACTGATAATTGGCTTTCTTTGTGTAAGCAGGATTGTCAGGAAACTGGGCTCTGTTCTCAAGCCTAGGCTTGTACAAAGAGTCACTTTTAGAAGATGTAACACATAAAGTGTCAGGCTTGTATGAGTAAAAGCCATTGCAGTTAACTGTAAAAGGCATGTACCTTGCTTAAGTTTTGGCACAACTGTGAAAAACAAGTTCTATAAATACATCAAATTAGGCTGTCCGTGTCAGCTTTCGTTTCTCTTTTTTTCTTGCTTTTTTGGGAGGGAGGGGATGAAGGTCAGTCACCAGACTGGATTTACAGAAAAGCTATCTTCACACCACAGACAGAAGCTATGTGATGGCTGACATTTTGAGGAGAAGCCAATTCAAAGCGCCTGAGGAAAATAAACTGAACAATGCTAACCACTGTCATTCATAACAGGGGTGTTATGATGAAACAAGGCCACAAAAGACAAGACATTAGCTCATCTGGACTATAGGTTTTCTCAAAGAACATAGGTTATGCATGCATGCACACCCAACAACCTTTGCATAAACACTTTAATACCATCAGATACTGGATATGCAAACAAACTCTGACAAACAAATCTATACCAGACAAGTTATTTCTCTTTTTTCAGAAGACCCAGAGGGTTTAAAGTCACTCATTTGAGAGTCAAAAAACATCTTTTTATTTTATTTTTTTTACTTTAAATGATTCTTCACTATCACCACATAGAAACGCCACAGTGGGATGTGTTGATGGGAGTATTCCTATTGCATCCCAGAATGCTTTTCATCTCTAAGTAGAGCCTGGTGCCTGTCTTGGGGGGTTGGGGGAGTGCTTCTCTGGTGTATGTGAGAATGCCTCTTTTCTTTTCTTTTCAGCTGCAGGTCTTTGGCTCTGTGGGCGTCAAGACGCCAGACTTACAAATCTATCATGTTAATGAGGAAGGAATATACAAAATGAGGAATGACAGCGTTAAAATAAATATATAGATAGATTGAAATGACTATGGCTTGTTTTTAATTCGCTGAAGCCACGTGGTATGAGTTTTAGTGCGTCTGAAGAAGCAGCAGTTATGACTGCAGGTCACAGAGAAGAAAGGGAAGCCTCTGAAATGAATAGAGAGTAGCACGGAGGCACAGACAGGCATGGCTAACAACCCTTTTCTGGTAGCTTTGCATAATGCCTCGGGCCAGAGAACAAGGGAAAGAGGGGAACCACAGTATGAGTAGAAGAGAAAGACAAATAACAGCAAAAAAACACAGGCAAAAGTGAGATTGAAAATATACAGAAATTCAAAAACAGAGAAAGTGACAGAGGATGGAAAGTGGCGTAATGTGCGTCAGTGTGTGGACTGAGGGAGAGTTGTACACACAGACAGAATGGACCAGTGGCTTGCTCAGCACACAGTCACACAGCTGCCCACTGACAGAATGGGGCTCTAATAGGGCCTTTTGCCTGCAACACAAAGACGTTGCAAATGTGTGCGTCTTAAGCACACACTGGAGTGCAGAATGATCCCCTTTAAAAACCCACCGGCCTTAATTGCTCCCATAAATTATGTCTATAGTATATCCAAAACAAGTCTGCTGACTAACAATGCCAGAGCTGTTGTGGCGTACAATTGCAGTGCATCAAGTTGTGCTTCACTAAAAATGTTAAAAGCAAAAAGTAATTATCAGCAACTGTGATGAGAATGTGTCACTTGCTTCTTCCCGTTTAGTCAGATCGTGGGCAGAATATTGAAATAATTTTGAGTGAATACCAAACTGCCAATGAATGGTTGTTCAGAATATTAGTTTACATATTCAGTACCCGAGATACTTGATTTAATTTTATATTTTTGATAATATTGGATTATATTTTCTCAAAGTTCATGCTATTTTGTGTTATGACTGTATTAAAAACTAATGCACTTGCTTGTTCACTTTCAAGCTGTAACATTCCAGCAGCGGTTTATTTTGGAAATCAGAGCAAGGTGTAATCATTATAATCTTTCATAAAACTGGAAAGGCAGATCAGAAATACGCAGAACAGGCTTCCTCTGAGCCCAACCAGTATTTGTGAGGAACCCTTATCAACAACCTCTTTGTAATTAGACACTAGAGCTGACATGTGATTAAATCTTTGCCCAGCTCTCTGCTCCATTTCCAACCTGAAATTCAGCTACACCTTGCATTGTGTGAGAGAATTTTATGAGCAGGACTCTTTGGTCAGCTGCTGACAATTCACATTCACTTTACCTAAACTCGCCCGCCATCCCAGCGAGTCAAGGACAACTGTCACCATGGCGGCAGAAGAAATATTTCCAGGTATTTTCAATTAGGGTACCCCGGTACCAAACCAGTTCTTCGTGGTATTGTGTTTATGGTGTCGACAAAGATCAACTGTCATGCAATATCAGAGAGGGCAAAACATAAGCACTTCCTAACCCACAAAAAGAAAGGAAACAACACTGAAAAATAAGCAGTTCAGTGCTTCGCTGCCACTGTGCTCCATATTCAAAAGTGTAACTGCCTTTCATTTTGGACTAACAAGATAATAAAGTAGTTTCAAAATGAGTGTGAACCCTGTCCCGTGATTAAGACATACAGCCACCACACATTAGATATCATAAAAAGACAAATTACTTTATTAACTTGACAATAAAACATTTTCAGGCTCAGGGTGGTTGGACTCTTCTGTGTGCTCTTATCAGTAACTTATCAGTTCTCAACATGGGTAAGTTCGGTTTCAGTTTCATACATATTTAATAAAATACATTTTGGATATATGACTCTCCGTCACGTAGTCATAACAATGGACTATAACAGTTTCAATTGGATTTCAAGGATGCAGCCTTATATCGTTGCTCTAAAAACTGAAACAAAATTGAGGAAGAACACATAGTTTCAGCCTCTTCAGCATAAAAAAAATAAATAATCACCTCCTCTGATGAACAACGTTCAGATACGCGGGGGAATTAGGCCTGTATTTTACAGATGACTATCTCAAGAGGAAACACAAACCTAAATGTGTGGTGGAGATTGGTGAGAGATATGCAACCAGGTCTTATGACTCAAAGCACTCAAGCTGGTCTCAATCTCTTCTCAAGTTGTGGTGAGGAGATGTGTGTCAATATGAGCTGCACAGCAACTACACCGCCTCTACAACTACAGGTACTGAGTTTGACAACAGCCTGAGCTTTATTACCAGGGCTCATAGATAGAGGGGAGCTTGCTGGCTCAAAGAGCTTGTTTCCCCACCACCACCTCTCTCTCTCTCTCTCTTTCTCTAAGCAGGTTATTAAGCAGAAACCTTTAATGCCAGCAACAGGTTGGGCGAGCAAAAGCAGCAGATTTTCTCTTTCAGATCCTGAGACACATTTGTAAACTTCACAACACAGCTGATTTAGTCCAGAAATGTTGTAATAACTAAACTGGAGTCAATAATCTGACATCAACAGAGAGTGCTACATGCCAGAAGCTGCACTTTTTTGTGCCTGATCTGGTTTAAAGGCAGCATTGACCGATTGACAAAATGCCATTATAATTAACTCGACAAAAAAAAAAGACATTTCTGTTTTCTGATCTGTGCCCAAAAGTAACCCAACAATGTCATCCAACGTCTTAATCACAGAGGAAACCCAGAATGAGCAGAGAAAGTAAACTCCACAGCAGTGGAAGAAGAAACATGATGATGCATGCCTGAACACAGTTACAATTGATCACGTATCTGTAACAAATTCCCTATTACCTGGCCAGCAGAGGCTCTTTCGAAGTTAGGTCATCTTCAACAACAAGCAGAAAGAAGGAGGAAAAAAAAGGAGTAAAAGTTTCTCGCAGTTGCAGCCGCCAGTTTAGCGTTGCCAGCGCAGGACTGAGCAGACTGCGAGCAGCTGAGAGCTCACTGTTGCTCTCAGCCTGCAGCGCTGATTGTAACAATATCCGCGTCCGGGCAAACCATGTCGAACCGTGGGGGAGACCAGAAGAAGATGGGTCGACTAGCCTGCTTGTTTACCGACTGCAGTACCAGCTTACGGTACGTATAAAACGTTAAAAGTTAATTACGTATTAAAAACAACAAACGTATTTAGTGCTTGACGACACGCGGCTTAAAGTTGCATTTACAACAAACGCGGCTCACCCCCCCCCCTCCGAGTTGGTATGTTCCGCTGCGGTCCTCCCTCAGGCATTTACGATACTCATGTGCTACTTTGTATTACTATGCTTCCCATTGATGTTAATGAAGCTAATAGGGGTTGCCGTTTAAGTAGTTCAGGGAAGTTACAGTCACACTCATTACCTACCAAAAATGTGGCTACCTTGCCGTTTGGTCGTTCCCTTCTCTGTTGTACTCGGAATCAGACTAAATCAATGACCCAGACATGTATCGAAAAAGTTCAAATAGATCATAAAAAAACACACAAGCTCTAACTATGGCTTGCTGTTGAGCAATGGTAGTCATCACTCAAAGGGAGGAGTGTGAACAGGTCTGAAATGCTTTGAAAGAGGAAATCTTTCCCACTTCCATATTGGCTCTCCTGCCATGGAAAAACTCCACTGCTACATGGTGGAGTAATTCAATCAATCCACGAAAATCCTATTAGGAAACCTTCAAACGTGTTTCCAGGGAGATGGAGTGAAAAAACATAAATATTTGCAGTATCACACTTGAGAGGTTAAAATGAAAGCGTGGTATTCATGCTGGTAGGGCAGCCAGTGGGCTATGGCATCAAGTCTAAAAGCTTATAGGTTAATATTATGAGTGGAATAAAAGTGTAGCTTCAAATATGTGCCAGCCCAAAAGCCATGAAAGTGCTGACGGTGGTAAATGTACTGTACAGTTGAGTTCAACCCAGCAAGATCCACGGTTTTATGTTTTACTTACTTTATGGTGGATGGTAATAAAATACTTTCAAAAGGTAGAAAGAAATGGTTTCCAACTTCCCTTGTGATAAAAATGGGCCCTTTAAACAAGAAAGTCAGTTTGACTTCCTGCATGATTGTACAATGGGGCGAAGTATACCCAGTTTCAAAATGACAAACACACATACATGTAACTGTGAACACACCCAAAGTCAAGAGCACATCACTCAGACGTTACAACACATCACTATATTATTACAATTAAATGGCTTTGTAAGCTTTTCATAAATGTTCTACGCAACTTCTCTAACAGTAAAGTTTCTGAAAGATTATTAAATGAAGTATCCACAAAACTGACCAAAAACTCTTGACTTTATTAAGCCAAACAGGATTGCGGTGTAGCTTGTTTCTTAGCAACAGCACCTGGGCAAGGGGATTTAGTGGGTTTAAGTATATAACCTATTAAAATCTAATGACACTGTGACTCAATGAAAAATACTAAAAGAGATGCCTTACAAGATGTTTTAAAGACAGTGAGAGGGAATGTTGACAAAGTTAAAGGAGAGTTTATTCAATTGAGCTCAACGGAGGTGGTTTCACTTCATGGGAAAAATCTCTGTGAGACATGGGCATAATATGCACATCCAGGCAGGATATCCAGAGCCTTGTAAAATTCCAGGCAGTAATTCTTGTAAAGCTCGCATGTGTTTACTCAACAGCCTGCCTCGATGTCGACAGCTCCCATTGGACCACTGGCCTGAGCATGCAATTAGGATCCAGAGTTTGGCAGTTATTAATGATGCCATTGAGGAAGGAAATGGCAGATTGGCTTCTCCTCAACAGATGCCATAGCCTGTTGTTTATTTATTATGTCAGAAGTTCTTAATCATGGTCCTCGGGACCCCAAGCTCTTCTGGTTTCCAGTTTAGCCAATTAGGTACAGACTATTTTTCACAACACGAGAGATGGATGTAATTAACTACCTGGTAAGACAGAACATCGGTTTTCAAACTGTGGGTCAGGGCCCTCAACAGGGTCCTTGCAAAGTAATTTGAGGGGATATAAGATGATTTATGGAATAGGGAAAAAGTATTCAGTATAAATGATTGTGGATTTTGTCTTGAAGCCCTTTTTTAAAAGTAATACAGAATACATTTGTAATGCATGAAACTGAAACTGAAACTGAAATAGTTATTTGGCTGCATGAACGCATTACAAATATTACAGAACAATTTCATATAAATACATTGAACATGTGCCTTTAGCACTGTGGGTGAATGTACAGACAGTACAACAGAAGTTATTTATTTATTTCAAGTAACCTGTCCCACACAGTTACACATAGCTTAAAAAAATTAATACAACATAATCAGGTCTTGTACAAAAAAATACAAAATATTCTCTGGGGTGATCAATGTACTCGCTTGAAGATGAGTGCTGTCACTGTGTTGCCTGTCTTGCCTCCAAATTGGAAATTGGGTGTAGGCAGCTCCTGTACAAACTCAAATCCTGTGAAGCAACACAGAGAACATGTGCAGGTTAAGAAATGTGCATTATGCAAACTGCCTAAAACATTAACATGCTGTCTTAAACACAGATGCCAAGAATCATTTTCTGCCGACTATGGCTACAGAGGGGTTAGGACAAGCACTGGGAGTCAAGAACTATCCATCCACCATCTGTGGTGCTTCCTGGGGCCTAGTAAAGACAGGCTGTCAGTGTGACAGATGAGATCTCAAGGCCCTTTGGCCCCCTGCAGGCTCTCCAAAGTGACTACACTGAGACGAGTGACAGCTACTGGAAGCTTGCCGAAATTCTGACTTTACAAGGCTGTTGTTGCCTGCAGCTTAACAACCTGCCAGGTAACTGTCACAGTCGTGGCACCCTGTCTGTGTTTTGACTGGGGGTCAGACAACTAAACACCCAAATATAAAGATGTTACATGCCAGAGAACATAACTGTAAATCACACTGTTGCACATACAAAAGGATCGTTTTGCCAGTAGTTTAACCCAATTACAACACTGCACACATGCATTTCAAGGTGCCATGGAGTTTTCTTGTAAAAAAACGTTATGTTTAAATTTAGTGTTACTAACTAAAACAAATGTGTGTGTATGGCTGAGTTCTAATACATGTGTTGAATGGAGTTCATTCCTTATAAAACACTAGTATTTTAAATCAAGCATGGTTTACATCCATGTTTACTATTCCCTGTCTTTGTGGTCGGATTGCAGCATATCTTGGTGTCTTACTGCAAACTGTTGATCAATGAAGTGTGACACATTTGGCAGCAATGTCTACACACCTGTGTGATTGTGCGAGATAAACAAAACGGGGACGGACTCAGAGAAAAACAGCTCCATAGCGCTTCTAGATGTCAAGAAAGCGTGTGATATATTGTTTCTTTTCTCCTCTTGGCAGCAGTTCATTCTTATTCACTTGGTAAAATGTGGAAATCAACAAGCTGATCGCCCACAGAAAGAAACACCAGAGTTCAACTGGGTGAAATGACTTCATTGTTACATATGTAATGTAGTCAAATGCACACACTTATCTTAAAAGTCTACATGTCATTGACACCACAGCAAACACTTTGTTAATATAAACCTTTATTTGTATTAGGTTTTAATCTAGTAAGCTATTACTAAGTAGCCATTGCCAAACCAGGGACCCTATTTTCTCATTATTTGCATCATAACTGATTCTGACCAAAACCTCATTGCCTGTCAAACTGTCTGGCTCTTTCATACAATACGGATACTCCAAAACATCCAACTCATGTGGATTTCTTCATATATATATATATATAATATATATATATATATATATAGATACTAGTAGTGACCTACTTTAAAACTATGAATAAACCGCTGCAGGCAGCCATAAAAAACAAACAAAACAAAAATACTAAGAAGTGCTTCAGCGATGGTAAGGTAGAATAGGGGAAGGAATAACATGACATAATCCTAATTTACATTTTGTCCAATCAAAGGTCGGGTTTACAGAGAATTACCTGTCTAATTTGGCTAGTTTTTAGAGACTCATTCAGCCTTGTATGACTGCTGGAGAGCTGCATACTGACAAACATTCGACAGAAACAAAATCAAAATCATCAGCCATACAGTAATTCATTTAAGAATATCCCCTCACCTTCACTGAATCTGTCTAGCAGCTGCTCTTTTGTCCAGTTACAAGAAGTGATAGCGAAGAATCCTTTGTCTTTAAGAACATCTTTTACAGCTTGGACATAGAGTTTTTTGCCCTCCTTGGCGTTGTCTGGGGTTAAGCTTATTGCATCAAATGTTCCTTTGTCGATGCAGACATCAAAACCCTTTAGCTCCCCTTCACAGTTGAGGAAATCCACCTCCTAAAATAGAGAAAAAGTGAAGAATTAAAGAAATGTTTGTCAGACCAACTCTACAGTAAATACACAATATGGCTCCTAATGTTTAGTCTGACTGTTTAGGCGTAGGGTAAACTACACAGTGAACTGCAGTAGAAATCTTTCAGCATCAACCAAAACGAAATGTGTTATACCTCATTGGTAAACTTTAAAACTAAATTCCAACTGCTGCCATGACAGCAGTTAATTCTGCTGAGGTTCCTAGCCTCACCATACCACCAGTGAAAGGAGCCCTTTATCTGGACAGAGGGCAGAACACCAGGTCTCTGGGGAGAGTTCAAGAGCCACATACTCACACCAAAATGCATTAACATTGATTCACTGGAGACAGAGATGTCTATATATATTGTTGCAACTTAAATGAGTTCAATTTGAGTGGGAGCCTGCAAAATGGAAAAACTGGGAAGATGTTGAAGGAATGTATCATGGTGAACGTGTCAAAGCAGCAGTAGAGAGTGACTAATGCACATGGAGACATAGATTTAAAACCAAGACTGACCTTTGAGGTAAGAGACCTGAAGAAGAAGCTTTTTTTTTTATTTGGAGCTAAAACTCCTCTCACTCCCCCAGACTCCATTCAAGCATGCACACACAAATAACGAGCACATTGACAGAAATTATTTTGGAATTCTGCAATATTGAAGAAATTCACAAGATGCCAACATACCATTACTCTCTCACTCTCACTCACACACACACACACACACAGTACACACAGTACCCCACCAGTCAAGTCCAGCAAAGGTCAATATTGACTTCAGTGGAAGGCTTTCTGCCCAAGCAAAGCACACACCATCATAGGCGTGTGATGCATATAACATATATGCATCTGTATTTATGCACACAGGAGAGGAAAACTCACTCATCACATCCCTTATAGACCAGTCAGCATTTGAAAGACCTTGTTTTTCTTTCATATACATGTTAGCAGATGTGTTAAATCCTGCCAGTTCATTGGAGTTTGAGGTGGTTTAATCTGAATGGTGGGCAGACTTCCATCACTTTCAGGGTTTTCTTCCTATCCAACTCTCCCACATGGTAATGCTTCCTCTAACCTGCCCAGGCTGGCTCACGGTGTGCCTAAAGCTATATTTTATCATTGAGATTTAGGAATGAAGGGGATTAATAAGAAAGTATTTCCATTTCCCAACTGCTGGTCACTTCTTATCCCAGTAAACATGAACAGAATGTAGCCCCTGCGGCTGCTAAATGTGTGCGATACTAGTATAAGTTAACTGTACAGCAGTACTGAACTCACCTTTACAGTGACATCCGTCAAGTCCTCTGCCTGCAGAACATTTCTGGCCAATTGTACAGATGCTGGAGAATAATCTATGCCAGTCAGATTCGTGTATCCATGTTGGGCCTTGACACAAATACACAGAAGTAGAAGTGAAAACAAAGCTTATCAACTGTTATAGAAATGTCTGAGAAGAGTAGTTTGTTAACAAGGTCATCACGATAAGCATAGCTGCCATTTACAAACTATAGATTAAAGGTTCAGATCACCTAAAATCACAAACATATTTTACACTTAACCCTTAGCAGTATTCAGTATTTTGCTGATAGTGTTTGTCGAGGTCTTGAGATTGCTGCCATCATTCAAATACAATGGAGGTGGACTGTGAAATAAAAGAATAGATTTTCTCTCTGTTCACACCAGTTCAACTAAAAAGGCTCCATTTCCCGTGCCAATGTCAAGAATGGCAGCATTTTCTGGGATCTTAGCTTTGTCCATCCATCTCAGCACACGGCTCATGCTCTCCTCACCAAACCTTACACAAAGATGGAAACAGAGATACTTTAGTAATCAGACAGGCCAGGTCAGAAATAAAAAAAATACAGCATTCAACAAATATCTTGTTAGGAATCATTGCATTTTGGCATTAAAATAGTCATGCCCAGTGGGAATGTTGGGTTAGTTATGGCAATAGCAAGCATGTCAATACTCAATAATAATAATAATATATGATTACCATATCTCCCCGACATCCCCAATCTCTTTGAACGTCTCAAGCTCTTTTTGGTATGCATCTTCCCAACTGCAGAAAAGGATGACAATTAGTTAGCAAAAACTAAACATAAAAGTGAACAAGCAGCCTGGTTTAAAGCTTGTATAGCTAATAGCCTACAATGTGTCTGCCATTTAACTACCAGCACATATCTAACATTATCTCACAAACCTGCGACGTGTCAATTCTATAAGTTGAGCACTTGAGTTAAAAATGTTTTACCACAAGATGTACAAAATGTCTAAACAATTGGTGGCTCCTAGCGACAGAGAAAAAGTACATCCTGAAACATATTTTGAAAGGGTTGTCAGTTAGCTTTGTTGTTGTTGTTGTTGTTGTTGTCTCTTGTAGCTTTGAAGAGCGTAACCAAGCATCATAGGTTAACATAAACAACGGAGCTAACGGAGCACAACACTCACTATTCTTTAGTGCCAAGCTTTGAAGGTCCAACATCGTTATCCGAGTCTCTTTCTTCCTCTGTGTCCGAGGTATTTTCACAGCCATGTGGGGTTTCTGCAGCGACCTCCATGCTGTCAAGTCTCCGCCTACATTTCCCACAAGACATTGCGTTTGAGGAGCGTGCCTACAACCGCAGGGGGCATCGGGATTGATAGGGATGTTTCCATCATGGCGGCATCCATTTCAGGTTATACTTTTAGTTCTGTGTGTTATCACAGCGCCAACAGCAACTCAGATCATGTGAGTATTCAACGTTGCGTTGACAAACTATCATGCAATGGTTGCTCAGGTGTGCGTGGTTCGGCGGTGTGGCTGCTTGTTCACCAGCGCCATTAGTTTGTGTTGTTTTCCAGTGTCATCATCCTGTTGCTGGCTAGCTAGTGTTGGTTCCGTCTATTTACCGGCAGGTATGGTTTAATCAGACGGTGTAACTACAGACGTGACTGGTCATTTTAAGAGGATCGTATGTGCTGCAGTTGCACACGCGTTACATGTGTAGCTTTAACATTTATCTACAGAGAGCCATACACATGAACACCTAATAGATCGATATGGGAGACGGTGTTAGGAAAGTTTGAGTTCCAGGAAATACTCAGTAGTTGGCTTCTTAGCATGTTAGCTCAGCTACTAAGTCGAGTGACTTCCGTGTGTCGGTGCTGCTAACATCTACAGTCACCTCGACCAGTTATCTGACACAAGTGTGGTGTGCCATCCAAAGAAGAACAAGCTAACACAGTAAATGTCCCGAGTCGGTGACAACAGCCCTTCTTGTTTCTGTCGTTTCCGCATCGCTGGATTAGCTTGTTAGCCACCTAGCTAATGTTGGTTGCAGATGGCTGTTGTGTCAAAACTGTCTAACAAAACGACTGACGAGCTTTAAAACATGTTTCTGTTGTGGCCTTTGACATTATTGTGGTAGAAACACAATCGAGGGTGGATGCTCTGTGCGCACCGGGAAGAAAACCTTCCCCCACAGACGTTAACGAAGCTGACGGCAGCGCTGTTTACATGCCCTCTTCCTCCTGTCGGCCCGGGCTGATGGAGAGTGGATGCTTACAAGTTTGCCTGCATTCCTGACAGAAAGAGAAAGAGGCGACACTGCTGTTTCATTTAGTCCCACAACAGAAAGTTAATTAGACATATTATGTTACATGAAGGGACAGAATATAATGTTATGTATTCATGTTCATGTTCAAAACATTTATCAAGATTCTCCACCTGGCTAACCTTTCTTTATCATATCACAAATTGCTGATTACTGTAGGAATACTGCAGTAAATCCTTCTTTAAATCTGTAAACCAGTCATTTTCTTCATAACTTGATCATTTGTTTAGTCCAGAAATCTCCTAAAAAGTGGAAAATATCCATCACATGCCTTTTTAAAGAGGATGTTTACATATATATTAATTTAAAGCATTTCTTGAAACAACTTACTGATTGATTAGAACCAATTTTGTTGATGAATTTTCTGTCGATCAACTAATTGATTGATTGTTTCAGGTCTACATTAGTGCCCTAACCACAGTTTTTTGTCAAATTGTATTTGCACAGGAGGGCTTCCTATTAGGAGAGGTAAGGCAAGAAGAGACTGTCAGCATCAGTGACACACAGATCAGCAGTGCAGAATTGCTCCAAGTAGTAGGTAAGCCCTGAAAACAGACACAACGAAAACCTTTGTGGCATCTTAAGCAAGAAGCAGCAACTGATCAATGCCAGTCTGTGACAGAAGACTTAGGAGACAGTGAAGAAAGTCACAGGATCACAATTTCATAGACCCTTTTCCTGGTAGACATTTTAACATAGGAAAACAGGTGAAAATAATAAAATGAATGATGGCTGAATTCCACTTACTTGTTTCAGTGGTATTTGTATTTTTGGTGCTTTACATGCTGGCTCTGTTACACTGTCATGGCTTACTGGGACACTTCAATGTAACAGAGCCATTGTTAATATTATTAATATCATCTGTTCTTTTTCTACTACGATTACTCAAAATGTTTGCTGTGAAATGTTTAGTTCTTCTGCGCCCTTTTCTAAAAAGACACCGCTTATTACAACAACACATAATACAGGTTCTGAGCACCAGTACTCTCCTGGTGCACCCACACAGGGGATTTCACTTATTTTGCCTGTTAAGAGCCCAAGACTGTGTAGGCGTGTACAGACTGAGATTGCTGACACCTCCCTCAATCCTCTGTTTATTTTGTTGCATATTTTAGGCACAGCTCTTATCCTTCTTTAAGTGCATATTTGGGCATCATGCTGTATAGAGTTACCCAACCATAACCCCGAAGAGAAGTTCAGCCTAATCCGCCTCAAGTTAAAACACTTGTGTAGGTGTGCAGGGCCCTTAATATCTGTTTTATAGACTGTAACTGTTAACGTTTGCTGAAGATGTCTCGTGAAATGAACAGCATTATGACATACTAAATACAGTTTTTAATATCAGTCAAGCAGCCTGATGACAACAGGGAGCGTTTTAAAGAAAGGGGAATACAAAACACAATTACTCTTTTGCATTAACTTGCTTTGACATTTTGAGTTTAGTTCAGAGTCATCACTCAGCATAACTACAGGCCAGGGAACCACAGGAATCGGTTTAAATTGTAATCTGCCAAACTGTGGCAATATATTTAAGATATTAACAATGGATTATACATTTTTCAGTTGTGTGGGTTGCGTGGTTTTACTGCGTCTTGATTTTCTGCTCTGCCCCCTCAGTCCTACCTAGGACTGCGCTTTGATGCAATGTGAAATGTAACTAGGACAGAAATGATGCCAATAAGCAGCTTTTTGCTGAGCACTTATCCCTCTGCTTCAGTTTACTCTGTCAAAGGAGAGTGCAGGTTTATGCTAATGACCTCTTTTAATGTGGTTGGAACAAGAGTCTGCTTGGTACGTGATTTTGTGTTGTAAACTAGGACAACTGAAACTAAAAGCCAATGTAACATAATCAGTAACAGAAGCATTACTGCTTTTGCAAGTTCAGGTTTACTGTTAAAGACCCAATATAAACTACAAATACCTTCATGAATATGTGAATGAAACGGCAGGTTGCAGTCCTGTGTTGTAGATTACATTGGGATTATACCTTTTAAGGATTTGCATATATAATGATACATAACTGAAATATCTGTCACTATTTGTTTCCAACAGAAATCCATAACCATGATCCTTGTGCACAGTTGTTTAGGTAAGATATGAGCTTTTTATTCTCAAACAACTTCAATTACCATCAATTATCAATGCACATGGTCTGAGCCAAAATGTCACCATGTGTACAATTGTAAAGCAGGCACTGCATTAGGGAGACAGCCATCGATTTTGGCCATGATTGTTTCACTCAGGAAACCTGACCAGCCTTTGTTATGACACATGTATGACCAGTTAAAGTAGGTTAAAGTTGCACTTTACAAGAGCTGTTGCTGCCTTGTTATTTAGAGCTTTTGTTACTGTTTTTTCCCATCAATAAAAAGTGCCTTTTGTACAGAGTAGCTTGTGGTATCGTAGTTTTAGGTTACTGTTAATATGTTGACAATTGAAATGGATACACCAGTTGCCTTTCATCCATTTTAGAACATGCTGAATTTATTTGACATTGGACAGTAGATGGCCCCATCTGACAAGATTGGGTAATAGAAGTAGGCCAAGGCAGAGGAAGAGAAAAACATGATGAATCAGGTTGAACTTACTTGTTTTTTTTCCCTCCCCTCTTTCATCAGCTTTTATGACTACGCAGGCAAAATCAATGAAGAAACTCTCAACAGCATTCTTAAAGATAGGCGGAAAGTGAGTGAATTTCTTTTTATTGTCAATTTAAAATACATTGTGGCTGATGTCCTGTAAAATGTTACCTGTAAACCGGGTATACACTGAAATGAACCTCAAGAAGTCATGAATTAAGTTAACCTGCTTTCTTTTTGTGATCATTAACCTTTCATCATTCACTTGTTAATTTCTCTACTTTCTCTACATTGTGTATATAGTTTGAATTAGCACCTTACCATTAATCAGTTTATTATGCGCAGTTAACTGTTCCCATTGCTGACATTGTGTACATTTGGTTTGCACCTTATTGATAATCTTTATATTTGTTTGTATTTGCACTAAAGATATTTGCATTCTTTCCAACTTTGTACCACAACTGCTGTTCTATAATAAAGTTCTATCTTATCTTTAAACTTAAGTTTTGTGTGGTGGGTTGCAAACTTGTGGTGTATCTTAAAATATAAATTTAGCCTTGAGATTAGCTTTGTGGAAATTACTTACCAAGTTCAGATTCCAATAGTTTTGGCTTCAAATATTACATTTTACAACCAAATGTATCCATTGTATTAAATTTAATTATGTTACCTTTTGTCCTCAAGTCTTTATAAGTCGCCTGCATACTTGCTGCTTCGTCTTAAATGGGGTGAGATGAATGTGACTTTATTGGATTAAACAGATTTTTAAAATATTTGTGTGTTCGGTCATGTAGAACGTCATTGGTTGGTACCGGTTCCGGAGGAACACGCAACAGCAGATGTCGTTCAGGGAACAGATCATCCACAAACAGCTGACTCAGCTGCTTGGTGTGCCCGACCTTGTCTTCCTTCTTTTCAGCTTCATCTCCACCGCCAACAGCTCCACGCACGCACTGGAGTATGTGCTCTTCAGGCCTAACAGCAGGTAATAACTGCATGTTGACCAACATGAACACACACACTCACAGTATCTTGTGGGCAAAAAATATATCAAAGTTTTTTGCACAGGGATGCTCTGATCTGATCATTACATGACTAATGCACAATTAAATACAGGTTCTTTATCATTAAGAATTGCAGTGTTTATGCCATCATTTGCATTCATTCAGTCCCTGGCCTCATGTTATATTTCATAAAAAATAAAAAATATTCCATGCAGTGAGTTATACAGATTTCAAATTTGGGAAAAAGAGCATTTGTAGTTTGTATTGGAAGATAACATGAGTATCAGGAGAGAAAGTCGAATTGGCCCATCGCTACTTTTGCTTGTTCAAAATGTTGTTTAATGTTTAGAAAGTTAAACATGACAAAGTTAGTGCATATATGTGTGATTGGAATTGTTTTTAAAGTGTAAATTTTACATTATCAGCACTATAAAGTCACCAAATGCTGAAATTATAATTTTTTCATTTCAGCTCAAGTCACCATAATCCATCTCATTAAGTAAAGAAATAAGAATTAATGAGAAGGGAGTTTTAAAAGCAAAAAAAAAGTTAATTCGTGTTGAAAATAATTGCACTTAGTATTATAGTATTTGAGTATTCATTTTCTAAACAAGTGTGTCATATTTTAACAGTGCTAACGAGTCATCTACCCTCAGTAGGTACAACCAGAGGATCACCCTCACAATCCCAAATCTTGGCAACACAAGCCAGCAGGAATACAAAGTCTCCTCAGTGCCCAACACCTCACTCAACTACACCCAGGTCATCAAAGAGCATGGGTAAGGTTTGGACTCCCAGCTATTTTTGTTATTTTTTGCACTATACCCATTTCACTCCAATATTTGGCTCGGGGTGGGTTTAGACAGCCATGTGTCTCCTCTGATGTGCAGCAGCCAACTGTTTTTATCTGACTATACTACAGCTTCACCTTGAGGGCATAACGTGCAGCTCCCTCCTGCCCCCATGTTGGTTGCCTCATCTTATCAGTGGGAGTTGCTTTTCAGGGATTTAACCTGAGTCTTCTTGGTAGTGTGCAACCCCAGCGCATCCAACGTGTGTGTGTGTGTGTGTGAGTGTGTGTGAGAGAGTGTGAGAGAGTCCTAGTTTACACTCGACACAGTGTGTAAATGGTGTCAACATACATTTGTGTGTGACAGACTGCAGTGGAAAGCTGGTATGCGACAGGCTGCACATGCTCCTGTTTGTATTTCTGTATCTTTGTGTCTAAACTTAGACCCACTGTTACTGTCGTAGCAGGGATGAAGACTGTGTGTCAGTGTCATCTAGACTGCAGGGGGTTTAGCTGAGCCTGTCTATCCAGCTCTGATAAGATCACTCTATTTTCAGTCAGTCCATTCAGCTCATATTTGTGTGTGACAGCCAGTAGAATAGGTTTGATTTAGCTTTGATAAAGAAGACCTCCACAATGTAACCACCACATACCTTCATGGCTCTAATGCGTTTGTAATGTTAGATATTGGTGAACAAACTTGGTGAGATTGTACTGTGTGATGATGTCTTGAATGATATAATGGATATATCTATTGGTAAATATCTCCCCAGGGCGGAGTTCTTTGACAAAGATGGTGTGATGAAGGATATCCGAACAATATTCCAAGTCTACAGTGCACTACAAGATAAAGTGCAGGTGAGTAACTGTGACCCAAAGAAAGTTTTCGCCTTTGTTTTTCTTTTCTTTTTTGTATGTTTTTCACCTTTTTGTTTTGTTTTTAGGCTGTGTGTGCGGAGGTAGAACAAAGCGAACGTGTGAAGGAAAAAAATCAAGAGGATGTGAACAAACTTAAACAACAAATCGCTCTCAGGAAACGCAAGACGGCAGAAGAAGAGAGAAGTACGTACCTGTTTTGGATTCTATAAACTGGAATTATGTCATTACATTGATTGGGTCACTGTTCGTTTCAGTACAATTTTTATTTGGCAAAAAAAGTTCATTGTTTGGCTTTACAAAAATCTGGCAACTGACATAAGGAACATAAACACTTATTCATTGTCAAATCTTAATTAAAAGAATATGTTTTCTAATATCTGCAAGAAGCTACTCTCTTTTGTCCACCTGCCATTTCCAACACTAACTGAAAGCTGCACTCTACACTTCATGCATGCCAGTTGAGAAGTTTTACTGAGTCGACACGAGGCTCCCCACCCATCCCCCACAATGATTAGCAAACTGAACAGTTTGGATTTATTACTTGAACCGTTCCATCCCTAGTGCTGGTTTGAATAGCAAACAGCAAAACAGAATATTAATCCAATGTTGCACAGCATTTCAGTTCTTCTGAGGTAATCCATTTTCCCTCCAGGCCTTTTAAAAAAAAAAAAAATTTGATCAGTCAACCAGTCAAACTTGATTTACTGTGATTTAATGTATTCCTTTCTACCAGTTACATCTTCCTCTCTGTTCCACAGGGCTCCGTGAGGCCCAAAATGCCGACTCCCATTCCACTCCGGAGGAGAACACAGAACCTTCTGAGACGTCCCCTCTGTCCAGGATAACTTTCCACACACCCTCTGCTCCGGAGCGGCCCAGTACCTCACCTAACCCCCCATCGTATGCTGACCTCTTGTCCCAGGATGACTCTCTGCTCTCCTCTTCTTCCCCACCTACTAGTGCTGCTCTACTGCCCCGGCCCCAAGCTGTGGGCTCTCCGGGACACCCTACCCCTAGCCCACTGGGGATGGGCCTCGGGCTCGGCCTGGGCGCAAGCTCTAATCCTGTCACCACTCCCAGCACCCCGTACCTTGGCAATGGTGACGGATCAAGCTCTGACTCGTTAGACAGACAAGCTGCAGGGCAGGAAGACGATGAAGACGACGATGACGAGGAAGACGAAGACGAGGACAGTAGCGAATATGAGAACTTAGTGAGCGAAGCCGCTCATCTGCCATTGGTCTCTGCCAGCGTTTTAGCGCAAGGCCGACCAGCTGCCCTTAGTCCTGACGGGGACGCTCGTGGCTCACAGACCACATAGAAACACTCAGGGTGTGTATGGGACACGAATAAGTGACGCACCTTGAGATTTGGGCATCTCAAGCAATCAAAGATAGACAAATATAGACAAAAGAAGTGCCAGTCCTGAAAGTGAAAGGCATGCACAGGTGGTGTCTCGCTGTGAGTATTTCTTCCTGTCTTAGACTGATCTCCATTTTAAGGGGAAACATTGCTAGGCTTTGCAGGCTTAACAGGTGTGTCTCACTGGGGGGAAAAAGTCGTCTGTTTTCATTTTCTTTCTTTTTGGAATGGGGTCGGTCTGGGTACTTCAGTGTAGATGTGTCTGGTTTCAGAGTCGGAAGTGAACGTTGCAACAAAATTTATGCCAACTGGTTGGCAAGCTGGCTCCCTAGGAGATAGGCCCTTCTCAATGCTTTCCTTTTCTTTTTGTTTCACGTTTGCATCACCAACTCTGAGCACCCACACCTGCATTACCTCTTGCACTATTATTTTTTCGGCCTTCTCTTAAACAAACCATCTAAGAAAAGTAATGGGGAAAATGTCCTGCAGCCTTCAAACAATTTTTAAAATGAAGTCGGCAAATGGTAACTTTATTTTTTAATTTGAAGATAGAGATGTATATGTAAGTAGAATTTCTTTAACATGCACATTGATTTTGGACATTTTATTTTCCATGTTCCACAGTCTTAAATTAATTAAGTTAGTTGCCTATTTGAATGGTAGATTTCGAACAAAATTTACTCTGCCACTTCTATAATGGGTGCTTTATATATACATAAATATATATATATATTTTGTCTGATTGACAGTAAATCTAATTTGATTGACAAGAATGTCGATGTCTTGCTCCTCTTGGATAACACTGAAATTGTATGCGCTTTGCTGCACTTAACAAAATTTAAGATTTCTTTATTATTGTGCTATACCAATGCTGTCATGTTGTGCCACTTGAGTAGTCCTCTTTGACCACCCTGAGCCGAACTCAGCTCAGCTTTTGTGCGTTGTATGGGGTTCACAGGGCAAACACAATGTACTGTAGCTTTACTAACCAGATGCTTAAGGTTCCCTTTCTGCTGCTGCAACATAGAGAGCTACCACTAAAAAAAAAAAACTGCATCTGTCTGTTCTTCTTCACATAAAAACCTGGCTGCTACTTCTTCTTTACAGTGCTGGTTGTCTTCAATACTACTGACCGTGATCATATAACCACTTCAAGCTCACTTCTCACTGACTTGTTCTCTATTAAAGTCCTAATGGAAGGCTGATACCCCCTGTAGTGTGTGAATTGTAACTTTGGGAACAGAGAGCGAGCGATCACCTTCCTGTCTTGGCATAGTTGACAGCAGACCTCATGTATTCTGACCTGGTTGGGTCAATGTTACGTGTATGGACCTGGATAATGTGATAAAAACAACATGACCTTGCTTCAGTATACAGTGCCTTCCACTCAGGGCAGTTTCTGTCTGCACACAGAACACATTCACAGATCTTTCTTGAGGGGTAAAGTTATAAAAAATGGTGTTGTGTTTGCAATAATGGACTTCCAGCTTCTTTTTTCCCCCTGCAGTTATATGCCTCTCTTTCCATGATGCGTTTTGTCTACCTGAAACAATCTTCACTGCTTCCTAAAGCTGTTTTTCCCTTTTTTACTTTCACTGACGACTTCTAAGTGGACCTTGAGATATCATGGTTGCAGCTGTGACTTTGCTTGCTTTATTATTTGAAACTGGAATTATAACTGTAAGTCAGAGGGAATCTGCTCTTGGTAACTGACACTTCCTTCAAGGCAGAGTTGGTGATCATGAATGACATGCAGATGACATTTTTTTTTTAAAACATCTGGCCCTTTTGAAGACGACGAGTAACAAAGTGTGGATTGATTGATGTAGGACACCCTCCTTGCATGAACTGGTCAATTCTAGACACTGTTATATTCAGCATGGACAGGCATTTGCACTGTGCATGGAGGACGTCTAACATAGAGATCAGCACTCCGTTTGGGAATGAAGACATTTTGTGGTGGGAGAAGCTTTGCCTTGTGAACAAGCTCTGCTTTATTTACACAGCCTGTTTTGTATGTCATGTTTTTTGCCTTAGGGTCATTTCATTTGCCCTGATGTGTAATGCCAATGCATCACTTATCGGGAACTGGCACTGAAAATGTTACTTAATAATCACCCAGAGTAACACAATCACACAATGTTAAAAGAAATGACAAAAATCAATTTGTTAGGAGTATGGTTTCCTTTGACTACTGGAATATATTAAGGAAATATATAATGAATGTATAGTAGACAAGGGAGGGGGG